GAAGAAGAAGAAGAAGAAGAAGAAGAAGAAGAAGAAGAAGAAGAAGAAGAAGAAGAAGAAGAAGAAGAAGAAGAAGAAGGTTTCCCTTCATGTCCTGCAACATTTATAATCCATTAGTTCTGTGTAAACTTTTTCATGCCTACTCTGTCTCACTCATCATATTTCTTCTCCAAATCCATTTAGTGTATTCTATCTCTCTCCCCTCTGTATGTGTGTGCACATGTGTGTCTATGTCTGTGTTCATACGGGTGGGTGCACGTGTGCATATGAATACACATACTTGTGTGTGCACATTCATGTGGAGGTCCAAATTTGGTGTAGGATGACATTCTCCATGACTCTCCACCCTATTTCTGAAGACATGATTTCTCACTGAACTTGGAGCTGACCAACTTGCTAGACTATACGCTAAGAAGCCGCATGGATCTGCCCCCAACTGCTCTAGGGTTCCGGATAAAAGCAGCTGTGCCCAGCTTTTGTCAGTGCTGGTGAGCCAAACTCAGACCCTCATGCAGACATTTTACCAACTGAGCTATCTTCCTACCCCCTCTCCTTGCTTTTTGATGAACTTCTTTCCATCCTTCAAAACTCATCTCAAAGGTAACCTCCTCCCTAAAGCTGTGCCCATAAAAGCTTTTCTTCACACATGTGCGCACTCCTATTGTTGAACTCTCTATACATGTTATTAATGTTAGCCTCCTATACAGTGTTTCTCCGTGGCAACCAGATTATCTGCCTGTCAGCAGTCAGCAGTAGAGAAGCAGAAACGTTTCAGGAAAAAGTCAGGGAAATGCTTCATCACCTCAGCCAATGTTTCCATCAATAGAAGCCCCATGCTGAAGAACAGACAACACTGATTGTCATGTGGTCTTTGGTATAAAATTCTGGTAGACAGATCCAACCCTGGCAGCTTGTAGACAGGTGTGAGCTGTACAGCTCATAAAAAAAAAAAAAAAAAATCTCACTATATTCCTGTCTTTGGCTTATGTCATCTCAACTTTTTCATTATTTAAAAACAAATTATTCAATTCCTAGAGGCATTTTTTCATATTCATTGCAATTGTAGATGTTTGTATCTTTTTACTATTCCCAAGACTAACACCTACATATGCAAGAAATGTCTTATGAGGGTGTTCATTGTAACATGTTCATAATTTACAAATACAATGATAATAGATTATCTATACATCAAAAAGAAAGTTTAAACATTAAACAAACAATTTAACCATTAATAAATAAAATTAATCTTTGTGCACTGACACATAAAGTTCATTGTTGATCCAGGAAGCATATTAGGTTTTAAAGAAATATACGTAATAGACTTTATTTTCATAAAGTATACAGAAAGCCCCATTTTTTTTTGCTTACTCTTATATGATAAAACAAGTAAACCAAGAAATATTTTGCCAAAGAGTTGGAAGTAAAGACAATTGTCATTTTTTTTTCTGTCTGCACTTTTTAAAATTATACAGGTATGTCTACCTAAAGTACCTTCTAGTCAAATTGTAGACATTGGGTAATATAATGTCTGCAGCTAATAACCCACCTAATGAAGTGTTGGGAATGAAACCAAATGATTTCACAGACAGTTTAGCCCTGATTGGTCTCTCAAGTTGTCTGTCTCCTGCAGCTAAGCTTAAATTCCATCTACAAACACAAATCAGCAAAAGATAAACTTTGCACCAGCATAAAGTGGAGAAGTCATCCGGATTTTGAGTATCATTTTGCCTGGTAGCATAAAGGTAACATTACTTGACCAGATTGTAAGCAGAAAGGCCACTGTTAAGTGTCATCTTCTCTCAAAGGTTAAAGAAAGTGAAAGAGTAACACAATTTTGTTCTTATAGGCAGCAAATTGGAACATGAAGACTACGATTCTGCTGTTTTGTCTTCTAGGATCGACTCGGTCGTTGCCCGTAAGTGCGATGTGTTTACTTTCTGTACTGACCAGCCTCAGCCCCAGCCTCCTTTAAAGGCATTTATCTTTTCATGCCTTTCAACAAAACCACTCTGCTCTGTGACCCATTTTTTTTTGAGCTTCCCAGTTTAACTTTCCAAAGTAAAAGATGGTAAACTAATAAAGTGTTAGTGCAAATTTCAATATTTTGCATTTTAAAATGCATCCACTTTATCATGGAAAAAAAATTTCAATTGTTTTGGAAAGCAATAGAGCAGACATGAGGCAGAGTGAATAACTATTCTACTTTCCAAAACAAAATTAAGATTTTCTTGGGGACTAGTTACTTTCTCGTGACTAAAAGGGTAAACTATACTTTCTGATTTTTCTATGTGATAGACAATGATAGACAATGCATCTAAATTAGATAGGCTCTCAGCTATAAAACTGTAATGCGCATTATAAAACAGTGAACTTTTTTTTAACTTAACACATAGTATTACAAAATATTTAAAATGGGGGAAGAGAAAGAGTGTTCATCCTTACTTCAGTTGTCATAAGTTATTTTGTAGACATAGAGATGGGATATTTTATCTATGCATGGACTTTTCTCTGATCAAGATGCTTAAGATAAAAAAAAATAGATTTACTATGAAAGAAGGACAAGAGCCCACAGTGCCACGTGGCACTTACATACTCCATCTGTTTGATCAACAGAGACTCCTTAGAAACTCTCTGGATAGCAGACTGTGATGAGAACAAAACGAGGGGATCAGGGTCCCCCATGGAATCTGCAGTGACTACACATGTCAAAACATTATTTAGACAAAGCTTAGATTGTAAAAATTTCTGCAAAAAAAAAAAAAAAAAAAAAGAATGAATAGGGAGGATGAAACAAAATAGAAATGACCAGCACATTATTAGGAAGTCCTTAGTACAGACAATATCTTTGGAAAAAAAAAAAAAAGCCAAAATAAAGAGCAAATAACCCTAAAATGGCCAAAGAGCTGGTAGCACTGGAGGAGTACCCTTCCTGCCCTCTGGGATGTGTCCATCAGCAAGCACATTCTGGGGTCAGGCTGGAAGGAAGGGTTTATTGTATTCAGGAACTAGGATCACCACAGAGGTCCTAGTACTGACTCTGACACTCACCAGATGACCTTGTAAAGGTCTTTTCTTACCTAAAAGAAAAATGCACACAGCAGATTACTGGAATTGCAAGGCCATTTTCACCCTTAAGTTTAACAAAGCTTAATACACAGTAAATACTCTAACCAGGAAAGAGACTGAATTTCCATTCCGTGATTGACATGTCATAAGCAAGGCAAAAGTGGAAAACCTAAAAAGGAAGGAAGGAAGGAAGGAAGGAAGGAAGGAAGGAAGGAAGGAAGGAAGGAAGGAAGGAAGGAAGGAAGGAAGGAAGGGGGAGGGAAGGAAGGAAGGAAGGAAGGAAGGAAGGAAGGAAGGAAGGAAGGAAGGAAGGAAGGAAAAAACAGGACTCATGGAGTTTTAATTAAAATATCGCAGGGGGGAGCAAGTTGCATACAACTAAGACTCAGGGTATAACACAAATCCTGACAAAGGAGTGAAACAGCTGCAGTAAATAAATGGGGGCCAGAGACAACCAGTGGGGCCCCCTGTGTCCTGGCTTACCTTCCTCTTTCTCAACCTCTTGACCTGGCAATTGCCCAGTCTCTGATTCTGTCTCCTGACAACCATAAAATATTTGAGGACTTAAAACTGCTCCAGAAGATGTGGAGTCAGAACTCATAGTGCTGTTCAGGGAACGGCCTGTTGCCTTCTGGATATAAATGGATCCAAAACCTCAAGCACATTCCGCTCACTTTATCAAATATTTATATTCACAGAAGCAGCTTAGCCCTGCTTTGGGACTTCCTCCAACAAAACCGACTCCAGATCAGGTGACACTACTAACCCAACAGCAACAAAATCAGGTAAGCTCCCAAAAATGGCAGGGGTTTATAAACCAGGAAAGGAAACATGTTAAAACTGATGAATTTCTAAAAAATCAAGACTTGCACAGTCTTATGTCTCAAGAGGCTTTTTCTTTGAGAGAAACAACAAAAGAAAGCCAAAGGACTTGCTTTTACATTTAAATGAAGAAAGCAAAACAGCCTCATTTCCCCCCACCCTTGTATATGAGTTAAATGAGCAGGAATTTGGTTTAACAACTAAATCTAAACAGCTTTGAAAAGTGGATGGCATCACCAGTTTACAAAACTGTGACACTTAGTGTGGTTTGCAAACAAACAAACAAAAAAGGCTAGGAGGTGCATAGAAAAATAACTATGGCTTTTCTCATGGCTCTCTCACTCTCTTCAGGGCCCCTGCTGTGTCTGTGTCTGTGCACGCACGTGTGTGTGTGTGTGTGTGTGTGTGTGTGTGTGTGTGTGTCTGTGTCTTCCTGTGTGTATATCTGTATGTGTATGTCTGTGTTACCATATGTCCAGGTGTCTGTGTGTCTGTATATGTCTGTGTGTCTGTGCATCTGTGTGGAGGATGGAGTGTGTGTGTCCCGTGTGATATGCATATGTATGAATGTGTGGAGACCAGAGGTTGACATCAGGTGTCTGCCTCTGTTACTTTCTTCCTCTATTGACTAGCCTGGCAGGCCAGTGAGCTCCTGGGATCCTGCTTTTCCTCCCCCAGCACTGGAATTACACATGCAGCTCTTTACCCGGGACCCCATGCTTGCACAGCTCAGGCTGTACCGCTGAGGCCTCCCTCAGTTCCCTCATGGTTTTCTTAAGTCTCATCACTGCCGATGAACTGTGATGGGTTGCTGATGAACTGATGGGTTGCCGTAAAGCCTGTTTATTCAAGGCATATTAAATAACCTTGAAAATTATGTTATCTTTTAGCTTCTATGTTCTCCAGCCCTCCAACTCCTACTTTGCTATAAAGGACCCTGCCTTGCCTTCATCTAGATTCTGAAATATTCGTCAATAGCATTATAAGTGCAAGCTATCTCTTTAGTTATTGGACATCGCAGATCATTCAAGTTGAATCAATCTAACTCCTTAAAGAACCCGTAGCTTATACTATTCGATACATTCTTTAGGGACAAAAATATAAAACTGGATGTGCAAAATTGAGTGCTAAGACAAAATATTATAACTAAATAATAATCGTAAATAAATCACCTGATAAATACCACAAACTTGGTATACAGCTAAGCCATCCAAAACAACACAGGAAACCCTGAGGCCTCCTGTAGACAATTCAAGGGTAGTGAAAGGACCTGAATCTTTGCCTTCATTGATTTTAGTGGCAAATGTACATCTGTGAGAGCAGTATTAACTACCTAAGACTGTCTTCCATTGACACTGTAACAAAAACAGATGACCTCTTGTCTAACGCCCAGTTTCAATGCCCTGCAGGTTTTTCCTTCCATAAATCTAATACCATTAACACAGATGCTTGCTCTGGGATCAGACCTGCAACTGGTAAGTACTCTTTTACATCACCTCGCTCCCTTTTGTTTAATAAATAGGGCACCTGATTAAACACGGAGGAGAGTCAAGACCATCGAGCAATGTCTATCCACAAGCGCATGCGCACACGTACTCACTGAACGTGGGCTGGAAGAAGAGCAAGAGAAAATTGTTGAGTCAGGAGGCACTCAATAATTCTTTGAAATTTTTCCTGACGATTCCCTCTGTACAACTGACCTCATTCTTACCATTAATGTCCAGATCCTGAAATCGCCTCTCTAAGATCCCTGCCCTAGTTTCTGAACCAGACCTTCCTTGATGTCTCCTGCTAGACCCATGTGCCACATAAACCCTATGATTGCTATTGTCACCCACTAGGACAGCGAGAAAGCACAGCTAGTTCTTCTCTCTGCTCACAGAACGTCTGGAAAGACCCACCTGTTTGGACAAGAAAAATGTTTCCCTCCCGATTCTGCCCAGTGCTCACATTTAAATATACTATTAATCAGTGTTCTGGACTAGGTATTTTATTCTGTGTCTCACAGCCTTGCCTTAATGTACCTATGAAATAATTCATTTCATAAGGGGGGAAAAAGGAATCAGAAATTGTCCAAGAACCATTTTGTAGCCAGAGGGGGGGGGGGGGATTACCTCAATGACCTCGGAGATACCAAAGGAAAGAAATTTAATTCCTGGGGGAGGGGTAACAAAATGGCTCAGTGTGTAAACTGCAACAAAGGCCCTGAAGCCAGAGTTTGAAGGCCCAAAACCTCATGAAGGTGGGAGGAGAGAGCAGACGCCAGCAGTTGTCCCTGACCTCCACCAACACGTGCAGTGGCATGAGAGCATACAGACACTACTATTTTCTGTTATTTTTTTTTAAGTTTGATGTAGAAGCTTGAGAGACAGCTCGGTGGTTATAAGTACTTGAAGAGGGCTTGTATTGGTGTAATGTGGAGAGGATTCTATTCTGCACTTATAAAGGACCTGCCATTCAGTTCCCTATACCCACATAGATCAGCTCACAACTTCCTCTAACTCCAGCTCCAGGGGGTCCAGTGCCATCTTCTGTCCTACTTAGACACCTTCAGTCTCTCTCCCTCTCTCTCTCTCTCTCTCTCTCTCTCTCACACACACACACACACATACACACCCACATAACCTGACACACACACACGCATGCATATGTGACATACATGCTTGCATGTAATTAAATACAAAGGAATCTTTGGAAAAATCAATGCAGCAGTTAGTCATGGACCTTGTTGTGCTAGGAAATCAAACAAGTATCTTCATTTCATCTCTGTGATTAATTACACACAGAGAACTTATAGAGGAAATTCTTCCTTTAAACATATTTTTGCCTTTGATAAATATGTTTTAGAGTCCTAGGTGTTCAAACCGAAAGAAACATAACGAAAATCTTCTTTGATGCCCACAGTTCCACCCTGCCGCTGTAGCCCACGGTGCACAGACTCTGCCTTTCACGCTGGGGCCGCTGAATGGACAGCCTCAGCCGCAACCCCAGGTAAACTGAGGAAAGGCTTCCCGAACTCTGAGGGCATCATCTGTCAGCTGAAGCCGCAGGGATGAAGGAGCCTATTTCAAAGTCCTTGGAAAAAATATGCAAATGATTTGCAGGTGTTCTTTCTGCTAAACACAAAACAGTGGGAACTGCTTCCATGCCTTGAAAGATTCACTTATAATGCTGTTTTTTATAACTAACTGGATAGTATTCTCCTATATATTTAACTCCTTATGATGGAAAATCAGGGTTGTTTGGTTTTTTTGTTTTGTTTTCAAATTTCTGGCTTCTAAAGTCATGTTATACTGACATCCTTATAACTAATTGTATTGCTGTATTGAGGAATGTTTCTTTTGAACGCATTCTTAGACTTTTAGGAAAGTATTTTAATAGTAAAACATATTATACATAACAATTGGCCATTATGACAGTCTTGTACATGAATAGGAAGTATTTTGATCATATAATTACCTTCCATTACGCTCTGTGTCCCCCTCCCACTGATTGCCTTCCTCTTCCCATCTAGTCTCTCTTCTTTCACATCTGTGTGTGTGTGTGTGTGTGTGTGTGTGCGTGTGCAAGCGCACACGTACACATGTGTGCATGAAAAACAGTGTGCTTAATTAGGTTAGCTTACAGAATCATAGGTGAGACATGATTTATAGGAACATGAGTGACCAACCAGTGGCTATGTGACTGGAGAAAATGTCTCTCTGCTAACCCAGCGATTAATAACTGTAAATAGATCCTCTATAAACGGGCCCTGCCCCGTCTGTGACAGAATGTTGACAGGTCCAATTTTATGCCGGGCTTGTGCAGGTAATCACAGCTGCCGAGAGTTCAGAAGTGTGACAGCCAGATCCTCCCCATGGACAGAACTGCACAGCACTCTGTCCCTTCCTCCAGCCCCTATATTCTTTCTGCTGCATTGCTACAGTTTCCCCTGAGGCTTGAAAAGGGCAGGCTAGGTGGCCCATTTCGGGCTGACGATCCAATCGTCTTTGTTTTTTTTTTTCATAACTTAGATCAGTTATGAGTCCCTATCATAGCCTCTGCCCGTTGCCAAAAATAGAAACGCCTCTGACCAAAGATGGTAACAGACTAATTTGGTGTCCTCCAAAATCCTGCCTATCGCTCCCTCGCCCACGCTGACGGTTAGTTGGGTTTGTTGTTCCTGCTGCTTTAGCTGCTGTTATATTTTGCTGCTGGTAAACAAGAAGGTGGCTGGCTTTTCTAGAAAGATGTGTGCTTGTCATTATTGGCCTGACAGGCACTATTGTGTGCCACTGTGCCTGCTGAATGGGAAAAGAATAAGGTGGAGAGCCCATAAGATTCAAATCTTTCAGCATGGTACATACCAAGTTAAAGGTCAATTTTGATGATATTTTTTTCCAGACTATGAATTTTCTATTTTCCATAAATAAAAATAAAATTGTAAGTTTTTTTTTTTTCAGAGAGGTAGAGAATATCACACCACACCAACTCTTCCTCCATTTCAGCCAGCAACTGATAACACTAACCCCACCATCAGCACCTCTCACCTACCTGGAAGATCTCCACTGTGGCTCTGGGTTGCTGAGCAAGTGTAACCTATAATCCCACACACACACCCAGGATTATATTTTAACAGTGGTTTCTGTCCCTTTGTTTTTCAGATGTTACCCATTATTGTGGCACAGCTTGGAACTCAGGTAAGACTATCGCTAAACAGACTGTGATTTTCAATCACCCATGGGCAAAATGTATCTCGTGTCCCAATTCACCAATCAGGCACCAGGAGTCTAATTCACTTTGCACTGAGTGAGCACTGAGAATAGAAAGATGGAATTTACCTGGGCCTGGCTGGCTGGCAGGTGCAGTCAGTTCTAAGTTCTTCACAGTGTCTCGTAGACCTCACGATTAACATCCACTCTAGAAATAAGTGACGTATAGTTGCTCATCTAGCCACACCCCCAGTAAACAAAGCAGCCGGTCGCCCCTTGAACTACACTGCCGAGAAAGAAACAACTTCATGGGATGAGTATAATGACTTGTGATATGGGGGGTTATTTTATCTACTTTAGCCACAAGGGTTCATACTCATCAGATAATATTTGTGGCATATAAAAATACAGCTAAACCTTAAACCAAAAAGAAATATTATGTAAGCTACAACATAACCAAAAATAAATGCTACAGACATTTAAAATTACAGTTATTTCCATTTTGAGGTAAGACAACTAAGGGGTTGTTATAAAATAGTAAGAGAAAAAGAAAGACAAACAACAGTATAAATAAAGGTTTCTATTACATGAAGAATAAATTTGTAGAAAACACCTAGAAAGACCATCATATGTGAATCATAGGATTGTTTTTTCGGTTGCTTTCTATATTCTCTAGGCTCCTTCCAATGTATATCTATCACTTAATAATATATATAATTTTCAAATAAAGGTAAGTTACATTATTCAATAATAAACATGAGCAGTCCTATATCACATGCTGACATGAGTTTTGTGGTATAGATACCAGACCATTTAATAGATCATTGAAAGTAAAAACCTTTCCTTATACTACTTCAAAGTATTTAAAGTTTTAGAGTTATGTTATATACACTACATTGAATATACTGAAATTTTCTCTAATTGCTTCTGTTTATCATTTTGCTTTTAGGGTGCTCTCCTGAGCTCAGAGGAACTGGTAAGAAGAAAACCTTTCCAGTCACTAACATTTTTAAGTTCTTCTCACTTGACTCAGTGTCCTCTGCCCTTCCAATTGCTTTTTTTAATTACAACCCCATCTCCTATGTTCCCTACAATGTGCTGTGCATTTTCATAGCTCCTTGAATTTGATTCTTCCTTCTCAGCTAAAAATTCTGTCATCTTTGTTCTATATTTTCCATTAACTTAACTTTGCATTAGCTTTGTATATATTGCTAACAGATGCAGCATTCACCCAGAGGGTCATTGAACACTTTTAAACTTTATTTTTGATTGACTTTTAAACCTTTTACTGGAGGTTATATACTATTCTACAGATACAAACGTAGATTAATATAATATTGAGTCTGCAGAAAAAATTAAATCTGCTGTGCTTTCCATTTTATAAGCTTTTATCCCTATATCCTGGTAGTAATGAATGGTTTCCTATAAGCACAAATAATTGAAGAACAGGAATTAAAATTCTTATTCCTGTCACTCATAATTTCTATGCAATAATGTACAGGTCAAGTTTAGAAACATCTATTTGGATTGTGTGATATTCAAACATAACAACAGAAATAAGGACTTGAGACAGGGTCATAGAACACAGTTTTTATATTATAAAAGGCGTGCATATTATATTTGCTATACTCCCCTAAATAACACTCCAGTCATGAATCAGCATCTCCTTTGCCAACATTGACAGATGAACATACACATTGTCCTGAGATGGGGGCATTTCACATCACATGCTTTAACAGACCTCTCTCTCACCTTTAGTCCTTACTCTACAAAGTACATGAAGGAGCTGTACAGATAAACTGAGGCTCAGCGAGCTTAAGTGAGCTAAGTGTCAAAGGCAACAAAAGAGGTACAGCCACATGTTCTATTGTATTAGTAGTTTTCAGATAATTCTTGTTTAGTCCAACCGATGGTAATAATGAAACGTTCATACAGCCCAGCATACACACATGGTTTCACAAAACAATGCCTGCTCTTATATGGAATGTGTTCTGATAACTTACAGTCTTCTCTGTTGAATCATAACTTCATATTTGAAAACATATGCCATGTTCCTCAGCTTGGAATGTTCTGCGTGGTAATGTGCCTTCCTCTCCTTGCTGAGATCTAGCTTCTGCCTGCAAGATCTCTTAAGCCTAAGACAAAGCTTCCCTAGCGAGGGTCTCGGCCCTCGAATCACCGCAGGATGACTTTGAGAATTAGCTTAAATTCGTATCACCAGGCCCTGCCCAGACCTCAAACCTAACCATGGAAATGTGAAAAAGATGTGTTCCTTCAGTACTCTCAAGTACAGGCAGCTCGAAAACACAGAGATGCCTTTGGAAAGGACGCTGAAGGAAACTTAAAGGGACTCAAGCCATGAAGGCCATGTCTGGTTAATCAACTTTCATTCATTTTTCCATTAACGTGTAGTCTCCCTTTTTTTTTTCCATAGGAAAAAGAGAGGTTGCCTTTTAGATCAAGGATAGAGATAGAGCTTGTCAATATTTTGTGGATTTTCTAGCTAGCGCAATCTCCAGACATGCCTAATTGTCCTTTTGTTACGTGCATTCTGATTCCCTTTTTTATTAATTATTTATTACAGTTTATTCACCTTGTATCCCTGCTGTGGCCCACTCCCTCATCTCCTCCAATCCCTCTCTCCTTCCCTCTTCTCCTCCTCTGACCCTCCCCTAGTCCACTGATAGGGGAGGACCTTCTATCTGACCTCTAGCCTATCAGGTCTCATCAGGACTGGCTGCACCATCTTCCTCTGTGGCCTGCAAAGGCTGCACCCCGCAGGGGAGGTGACCAGAGAGCCTGCCACTGAGTTCATGTCAGAGACAGCCCCTGCTCCCCTCACTAGAGAACCCACACTGATTCCCTTTTTAAGAAAAAAGAGCCCAGCAACAAACCCCAACAGTGAAACCAGCCTCAGACTTGGCGCTGACAGTGCACATTTCTGACGAATTCCTGGTCTTCGTGATTTTCGCTGACTTTAGCCTCTCTCTTCTGCCACTCCTATACCAACCTGCTGTCCTCCAAGTAGAAGGGGCAAAGGGGGCTAGTTTAGATAACCTTATTAAAACGAGTTCTTTTTTTTTTTTACTTTGTTTTCTGTTTCCTTCCCTTTTCCAGCCACTGGCCTCACAAATCATCACAGGCCTCCTTATCCACCCCTTGTTCCCGGGGGGCATTCCCCCCTCCATTCAGGCAGGGGCTAAAGCAGGCGCGCAGAAAGGAGCCCTTCCTGCAGGACAGGCAGGAGCAAGCCCTGCCAACCTGGGAACCACCCCGGGCCACGTCACCACTCCCGGGGTCACAGATGACGATGACTATGAAATGAGCACCCCTGCAGGCATGCGAAGGGCCACACAAACCACGGAGGGAACCACTATTGACCCACCGAATCGTAAGTTCAGAACATGCTCATCACCGAGAAAGTAACCTGCAGAGTGGCAGAGCGGAGGTCCGTGCACTGACAAATGTAGACCTCAATAGTGGCAAGGGGCCTTCCTCATTTGTGAGCATCAACACGCATGAAGAAATAGTTTTACTAGGCTACCAATCCAATGGTAATAACCCTAGCAGACGACGCTGATAAAACATCCGCTACACACACACACACACACACACACACACACACACGCATGCACCTGGAACAGTAACCAACTTAGAATGAACCTCAGAATTTCTTATATTCTTGCATAATATTGCAAGAAGCCACTGATAATAGTCTGAAATCAGCACAGTGAATAAACCACCCATCTGCATTCCCATTATCTAATGCATAAGCACAATAAGCTTTTACCTGCATCTAACAGTCACTTTGCGTCTTCCAGGAACTCGGTGAGCTGTTTCAGATTTCCCCAGCTACACCACATCACATTTGGAGGTCACATGTGAATCGCCTTCAACACAACAGAAATGACTGAGACACAGTGAAAGGTCTTGGGAAGTGTAAACTCTTAGTTTACCTAAAACTTTTCTTGAAATTTCAGGAGATACATACTGAATGAAAACAATTCCAACTTCGAAAGAATTTTTCGTTAAATAGATCGATTTGTCTTTGAAATGCTTTACTATGCCACTTCAGACCTGGAGGATGTGTGTATTAAAATATATTTTGAAAACTGACTTTTCTCTTCTTTGGGGCTGGAAGAAAGTTGGATGAGCTCAGAAACTGCATTACCTCAGCACACCCCCATGACTTTAAGCCTGGAACTTCCCTGGGAAGCGGGAAGGGTTTCCTCCAAAGGAAAGGACAGGTAACAATGTGGAGATAAACTCCACATTCCCAGCTACCTGGAAACATGCTCGTGAAGAAACACAGTTTAACTTCTAATAAGTAAATTATTTATGATAATACGTGGCAAACAATAGAAACCAGCCTGTGAACAGCTTTAGAGTCAGAGCCAGGTTTGTGGCATTTGGTGTTTAGTATGGGATAGCTGTAGGAAACAGCATTATAAAAGCAACTACTCAGTCAGACCAATGTGATGCTCTCGCCTTATCCTTATCCACCTAAATGGCAGAAGTTGGTCTGGTTAAATTTATAACCCTGACCACTGCAGTTCAGCAGAGTTAAAATAGAGCCCTCCCCTTCCCCACTCCACCTCACCCCGCACCACACATCAGGCTAACGGCTTTTTTCAGTGTGTGTATCTGGTCCCATCCCTATACAATTGACCTAAATATACACCTGGCATTCCATACCAGGTCCTTCAGGGGTTAAGGATTTGCCACTCAGTGTTTCATATCTACAGCATCTCACAGGCACGCATATGAATTGTCACCTTTGTGTGGTCAAACTTTAAAAAAAAAAAAAAAGGCCAGCAAGAAGAATGACTTTAGTCTTGAAAGCTCCTCATGTTTGACGTATGAAAAGATATCATGACTCATCTGCTCCTGCGTTTCATGTTAGACATTTTCACAGTGTAAGATTCAGAGGAGTACAATTAGAAAGTAAAACATTTGAATATTATTATAAAAATAGATTTACTTTGCCAATACACCCAAAGGATCTCAAAGACCTTCCAGCGATCGAAGGTTGAATCACTTCTGTTTACTTTAATCCTCTTCAGGTTTACATATATTGGTCTTCACACACAGAAATCCCACATTTCTTTCACTGTTACAAATGTTTGACTTAACACAGTACTTCTGGTAAAAATCAATTTCACTCAACCCACACCGAAAACTTAAAAATTGTAATAAGCCTAATTATAAATGCTGCACATCAAATACATTCCTGAGTGGAATGACATCCCTGATAAATGAGGCATCAGTGAAAACAGAAACCTGTGCAACCAATTTTGCCATCTGATAACTGGTACCATTTTTCTTAGACTAGTCTCTGGCTTCAAATCTTTAGACATTTTTTTTTTCTTCTTCCCTTAATATTATAAATTCCTACTGTCAGTAAGCTCCATAAAATGCAATCACATCGTGACTTTGACCTTTAACTTGGTGCAAGAGCATACTGAGTGACAATTGGAGCATTCCTAGAAGCCATTACTAAATGGGACAACTAGGAATAACCATTCACAAACCATAGGAAAATACTCCACTAAGCCCAACTAAATATATCCACAAATTTAATTTTCCCTAGGCATATCCAAAAATACCTATGACCACGTCAACGCCATCTGATACAAGTCACAGTAAGACAGAGAAAACTCAAGAGAGTTCAAGGCCAGTCTGGCCAACTTAGTTAAACCTTCTCACAGTAAAAACACAAAAAGGACTGGAGGCAGGGGGAACCTAAAGAGAATGGCTCAGAGGTTAAAGTGCTTGCCATGCAAATACAGTGCCAGGTTTCAGATTCCCAGAATTCAGTATGAAATGCTGGTGGGCACAGTGGCCTCCTGTAATTCTTCTCAGAAGGTTCCCCAGAGCAAGATGAATACCAAGACTTGCCCTGTAGGAAAGCTCTGGGTTCAGTTAAGAGATCATGCCTCATTGAATATGAAGAAAAACCAATCAACAATGATTCCCAATAACTTTAAGCTTCTATGTGTATATAAACATCCACCCACACATGCAAAAAAAAAATGTGTACATACATGAGACAGAGAGAGAGAGAGAGAGATGGCAAAAAATGCATAGACACAAAAACAACTGAAAAGATGGAGAAGATGGGCTGGGTATTTAATTCAATCAAGTTCAATCCTCAGTATGGAATAAAACAAAGATGTCTTACTTTTGCAAAAACTACAAAATATAGGCTCTTGTGGGTTCATTACTAGCCTCATGTTAAGGCTGTGGAAGGGGTTCTATCAGTGAAATTTAATCTTCACTAAAGTTTAGTGTTGTGTTTTATTTTATACTCATTCTATTATGGCCTCTTTAAATGGCAAGAAGGTCACACTAGTGCATCTCGTTTTCTAACTGACGAATTCAACTTAAAGTTTCAAGCAAAGGGAAATAGTATAAGTTCTGTGTAAGCAGTATAAAGTATCTTTATAACCCTGAATTGTAATTTACATCAATTTCATTAGAGCCATCAAAATTTGAACGAGGCAGTAAGTGTAAACAGCAAGAGAAATATTAATAAAATGTAATGCCAGCCTCATACATAATTTTAAAACTCCTAGCAACCACATGAAAAAAGGTAAAAATAAGTAAATGAGATTCATTTCACTAATAATATTTTATTTAAGATAACTAAAATATAATAAACATTTAAAATAAACTTACTGATGGCTCACTTGCCTCTTTTTATGTTGCTAAATCTTTGAAATCTAATATGTATTTCTGTTTAAGCTACATTTCAAGTTCTTAAAGACAACTTGCAGATAGGCAGTGTCATATTGGAGAGAAGGAGTCTAAACTTAAGGAAAGAATAACCACGGCTAATATGAAACATAAATATGCTTGTGAAAACCACAAAACTTTAATAGAAGAAATTAAAAAGTCATAAATCACCAATTAGATATTTCATATATACTGGGTAGAACTCATCATTGTCAAGACATTGAATCTACAGATTCAATGCCATCTTATCTAGAACCCCAGTGAAGTACTCTTTATATCAAGCCAGAAGTTAATATGTATAACATACAACACAAGATGTGAACCCTAATGCAAAAGATGTAATGCAGCTAACAGTGATATATTGATATTGGATCATCAATTGCATCACATGAACTGCACTAATACAAGAGGCTGATGATGGGATGACCTGTGTTGGGAAGAGAAAAGGGTAACTGATAAATGTCTACACTTTTTCCTCTATTTTTCTGTAAACTCACAACTGCTTTTTAAAAGTCTTCTCATGTTTTTTAAACACATACAAAAACCACAAATGCTGAGCATTTCAAAATAATTTGCCTCACATTTGCCAGTCGCTATGATTTGCTGGAAATTCCCTCCCCCTGGTGGTACTAAGGCAGTAAAACTACAAGTGGCTCACTGCAGGGAGCCCAAAAGAAGCTGTCCTAACCCTGAGACCCAACAGTACTGAGAACAAACTAAATCTCAACTCTGACAGTCATCCAAAAAGCAAGTGTGGACCGAAGTAGTCATGACAGAAGATGATTAAGGGTGACCTGTGGGAGAAACCAGTGTCCCCACATATTTTAGGATTTGCTTTCAATTCCTTTAACATAATCTTAGCTGTTTAAAGCAAAATATAATTTTACTTATCTATACTTCATATGGGTTTTTAAATATTGGTCAGTTTTTTCTTCTCATTTTCTTCATAGGGTTTTGCCTGCTATTGATAGAGAGGTTCTAGGATGCTCACTGGCATTGCTGGACCCAATATCTAATTGTTCTCTGAAACTCGGTCCCTATTGTCCCATCTGGGACTTGGCGGCTAATTCTGACAAAGAACCTCCCAACAGAGTGCCTGACTCCACCCTATGACAAATAGGAAGTGACTATTTAGTAAGGATAAAGACTAACGACAAATCAAGTGTGAATGGTCCCCTCCTCTCTGAAAGAAAAAGCAAGGTGGCAAGGTAGGTAAAGGCACCTGGTGCCAGGCTGCTGACATGAGTTCAGGCTCTGAGCAACACGTGGTAGAAGGAAAACCAGACTCCTGCAAACTGTTCTCTATTTCCATACATGTGCTACACATGACATGTGTGAGCCCACACATGTACACACACACACACACACACACACACACACACAATAAATAAAAATGTAAGTGCAGTGTGCATGTGTGTGCACAGTAGATTCCAAAAATATTCTAGTCACTCTTCCTGCTTCATGATGTTTAGCCGTGGACCGTTTCCACTAACGCTTATATGTGAGCACTTGGTCCCTGACTGGTGGTGATGGTTTGGGAGGTTTGTGGAACCTTCTGGACATGAGGCCTTTGGAGGATATTGGGTGCTGTGGCTTGGTCCTGAGAATTTTGGGCCATCTCTGCTGCTAGTCTAGTTCTGTTTCCTAATCTATCCCAGTGTGATCAGCTACAAACTCCTTCCTTAGCAGCCATGAGAGCCTGTACCACCTCAAGCTATGAGCAAAATTGACTTTCCCTGTCAATTGCTCCTGTGGGTCCTCAGGCACAGCAATGAGAGAAGTAACCGTTACACTCCGCCTATGTATGAAAGTTTTCACTAGAAAACTAAAATATCGCAGCGTTGCTACAAAGAGTATGCACTATCATCTCCACTTTTAAATCCTTCTTGATTTTTCCTTTTGTGTATGTGTGTGAGGTGCCAGAGAAGTAGGCCGGGGGTCCTGCCGGATCACTCTCCGAATGATTCCCCGTGAGACGGGGTTCCCCACTGGACCTGAAGCTCGGCTGTCTCTGCCTCCTGAGCGCTGGATTAAAGGCACATGTGCTTCATCTGGCTGCCAAAAGTTAATATATTTTCACCAGCATCTCCACAAGCCTTCCTAGGGCCTGCAATATTTTTTAAGCTGCTTCGGCATAATGAGCAGTAAGTCTTAAATGAGTCACCAATTAACTATTATGACTATTTCTTAATACAGAAGTAAATAAAAACAAGCATTTAAAAGTCCAAGAAATAGAATTAGTGATCCATGCCCCATCAGTTATGTGTTACTGTGATGTAGCCTTGGACGACTATTTTCTCAAACAACTTTAGTAATTGCACTCTAAAACACTTTATTGATTAGCCACCCTTACCAATTTCCTGACATAGCTGAAGAACTTTTTTTAATTAGAAATCTCTATTTGTTTGAACATATCCAAGTAAGGAGTCGGAATTTCCTGTTACTTTGTTTTTGCTTTAGGGTTTTTTTGTTTTTGTTTTGTTTTGTTTTGTTTTTTGGTTTGGTTTGGTTTGGCTTGGTTTAGTTTGGTTTAGTTTAGTTTGGGGGGGGGGGTTGTTTTTCTCCTTCTCCCTACCCCAAAACTGAGATTGATACAAGGATTTGATTTTTTTCCTTCATCCTTCTCCACTTCTCCAACATAAATAGCTGGGGTGACAGTAAAAGTGCTAGTTTTTCACAATAATGACTGAATACAGTGGAAAATCTGGCCAACTTACGAGCCCTCCCCTCCCAGGATAATCAGCCCTGGCCCAGGGGATACCAGCTGGTAATAATAGACCTGATCCGGGTGTGGAAGGAGGAATTTAGCAAACATGGAGAAGATTTAAATCCACAGGGAACTTTATTCCTCCTACCTGTATGAAGTAAGATTTATAGATGGAGGGTGGGTCAGTGCCTGTGTGTGAGTGGAACTTATGAGGACGAGTGGAGGCAACTGTGCCCTCAGGAGTTTTGTGGGGGCTGCGAGCACCTACAGCTGCTGGAAGACTGTTGAGTAGCACAGCCTCCTCTCACCTGCTTCCACTCATGAAGTGTCCACGGAGATCGAGGAGATCCCACATACCGTAAGAAGTACCAGCACACTTTTTTTTTTTTAATCGCTACTCAAATCAGACTTTGTGTCAGCAAGCTTTGCCTGGTTAATTACCAATCATTTTCCCAAGTCCACACCCTGTCTGCCCCACACTATACCTGCGCCTCGTTTGCTTTTCAAAGGAATGTCTCACCAGACCATCTGAAACTGGTTATTCCGTCTGCAGAAACATGCTCAGGGAAGCTTCACTGTGCTCAGCAAGCAGCTGCCACAGGGGCCTGCTAAGCATCGCCAGCGCACACCCTCATATCTGATCAAACCTCCGTCTTTAAGCCTTTATAACATGGGGCACATTTAACATGTTTCTACACTTCAACAAATTATTCTACATGTTTTAAAACTAAAGCCAAGGGAAAAAAACCACATCCACACATGACATGCTGAGAAATGAAATCATCTCCCTCATGCTCCTTTTTCTGTAATTTCTGTTTGTGTTAATCATCCTACCACAGTTCATAACCCCAAGGCTCGTCACCATCAGGAGCCTTTATCCTGCCCTCTTGCCCTCATGATCACATACAGTCAGATGTGAGCTCTGTGTCAACTTCCACTGGCATTAGCTATTTGTAGACTACTTGTCAACCTCTAACACACTTTAGGAATGTGATGACCTTGGCTATTATTGCTCATTGCATCACAAATAGTACTGTATGTGTGTGTATAGACACACAGTTAATAAAAAAAAATTAAAAAAAAACATCTATTTTTTGAAGGGAAACGAACAGTAACATCACATTATTAACTAATCTACAAGTTTCAACCAGGCATTCTCCGTTTCCTGCCACTCTTGATTGCAACATCTTTTTTAATATCCTCTAGTGTAAAAGCCTTTTGCTTTTTCTTGCCCGTTGTGTGTGTGTATGTGTGTGTGTGTGTGTGTGTGTGTGTGTGTACAGACCAGAAATAAGTGTTATAAATCATCTTCAACCATTTTCTACACTGTCTTTTTTTAATTAATTAAACTTGCTCTTTGAGAACTTTCTGAAGATGACTCCATTTGCCCAACAACTGACAAGTGGGACCTCATAAAACTCAAAAGCTTTGGCACAGATAAAGAAATAATCCCTTGAGTAAATGAGAAATCCATACAGTGGGAAAAAGCATTTGACAGCTACACATAGGACAGAAAATTAATATCCTGAATATTCAAAATACTCAAAAAACTAAACTCAAGAAAACAAAAGAAGGGCTAGAGAGATGGCTCAGTTGTTAAGACCACATTCTTTTTCAAAGGACCACAGTTCCAATAAATCATATATACATACATATACATGGATCAAGTGTATCCAGACCCCATTTTAGGGTTAGAGATACATAAAACCATGCTTTCTATTTTTATTGTTTTGGTTTAGTTTTTGTTTGTTTGTCTGTTTGTTTTATGTAAATACTAGGGATCCAAAGTCAGGTCCTCACTTTTATGCAAGAGGTCCTTGAATGACTGAGCCATTTTCTCAGCAACAACATTTTTTCTGTTTTTTTTTTCCCTTGAGTTTTTTTTATGCCTATATTTCTCTTTGAATAAGACCATTAATAATTTGTTACAAATATTCAAGGTTGAAAAAATATTCATAGCCTATTAGAACAACCAAAAACCTACCCAACCCCCTTTAAAGGAAATGGAATGCTTTTCTCCTAAGGTTGTTCCTTGTTGGTTTTGAGATGAAGAAATCATAATATAGAATAAACATAATAAAATGTATACTCCTAAAGAAGCTAAACAACAAGGAAGACCCTGGGGAAGATATTCAGTTTTCACTCAGGACAAATGTGATAGACATCAGAAGCAGGAGAGGACAGGGAACAGGACAGGAGCCTACCACAGGCGGCCTCTGAAAGACTCCACTGTTTTTTGTTGTTGTTGTTTTTTAAGTGACCTTTACAGTTTGGAAGAGTATTGGCTAGGCATTTTAAAAGCTATCCCTCAAGAGATTTTTCTGATAATTTCACACTATAAGTGGCTGTAGATTTTGAGGAAGATAAACAGCAGTAATGTTCCTCAGTGTTCAATCAGGAGGAAATGGTGTCTATATGTCTTGTTACTGATGACATTGAAATGGTGTCTTATGGGTTTCTCTTGCACATATTCACTATTTTTTTCCTTTGGAATAAATATTTGGGGTGATGATATTAAATTATGCAACTATCCTGTTTATCCATTAAATTTTGACCACTAATTTTGGAATTCAGCCATGGAGCTTGAAAAATGTACTATTCTAAGGATGATTTCCTATTCTTCTCATTCATTCTATAGTTATCTCTTGAAAAATCCTCTCTGAGGAAAAAAGGTGTCTCTTTTCCTACAAGTAAAATCTTTTAATTGTCACCAATAGAAATTATTATCAATTATCTTTGTAGCTTATGACACAAGTGTCCTACCTTACAGGACATGAAACATATCAACATATGAGAGTTCTGTATCTTCCACTAGGCATTGGCGATCCCTGAATCGGCCCTGTCTGAGTCATCGGTTAGCAGCCTCTCAACTATAATCAATGAAACTTGTATATAAACTGCAAGCTCCCTTGCGTAAAAATTATGCATAGCATCAGTGCAAAATGATAAACAGAAAAGGCATCAAGTGCACAGCCAGGCAGGAGACACCTAGAGGCTCACCAACTTACATGGGGCACCAGTATGATGAGCAAGTATGTGGTGGAGAGATGAGAGAGAAAGGGAAGCGGAAAGATGTGTGCGCTATGAAGAGAGGTGGGGAACAGCCCGATGTGCTGCCAGCTGAGGCCATGGTGACATCCCAGTGCGGCCGCAGAGGACCATGTTTGGGTCCACAGCACTGAGGCAGTGGGGGTAGGGAGTGCGGGTTGTCTGTGTTGATTTTGTTGGCTATGTTACCACCGAAGACCAGGTTCCTCATCTAGGCTGCAGCCTGGGGCCATGTTGATGTGCAGAGCTGGCCCCGCCTCTCATCAGCTGCGCATGAGAGTTGGCCTCTCACCATCTGTAGCCTTGTGGAGAGTGGCCCAGACCTCAGTGGGGTAGTGCTGAAGAGCTGACCCAATGGCAGATGTGCAGGAGAGCGGGTCTTGCTCTTTGCCAGCTGCCGCAAGCCAAAGAGCTGAGCTGGTCCTGCTGTTTGTCTGAGCAAAGAAGAAGAGGTGGCCCTGGTGTCGCGGGTGCAGGAGAGCTGGCAGGCTGACCACCTCCGCTAAAACCCAGGCCCTGATCCAGAGCTTTGAGCTGACCCACTCCAACATCTACCCCATCTATGAACTGCTGGAGTGTGTTAGGGGGACAGTCCTGCAGGATCTCCTTGACACAGGGCAACAACAAGAAAGCCAAGAGGAGTCCTGGTATTGATAGTGCACCAGAAGCCTGAAGCCAGAGGCCTCAAACCAAACCAATGACACATTGCAATGAACACTTGCAAGGAAAGCTGCTTGAGCAAAAGGCTGACCTGTGAGACACACCACAGCTTCCACAACAAGCTGTTTCTTTTGTGTTGTTTTGTGGGCGAGGTTGCAAAGGCAAAGAAGAGATATGTAGGGAGAGATGAGTGTGATAACTGTGCATGATGTGAAAGTCACAAAAAAAATCAATAAAAAGTTTTTTTAAGGTCTTTAAAATTTTTTTAATTAATGAATAAATTTTTAAATAAACAAGTAAATCAATGATCTATGTCTAAATCCCATTCCAGAGTGATGAAATCAAAATCCTTAAGGGTAGAACCCACTAATAACTATTTGAGACCAAAATATATAATGAATATTTTGTTGAATAAAGCTGATTATATAATTAATGAACTACATAACTATTAAAATTATAACCGGAAAATATGATAGAATGTCAATATTAAGTAATCGTAAAACTATTGGATTTAGTATCATTAATTCAACAGCTTATTATTGCCAGTATGTACTAGTCTAACAGATACATGATATAATTTAGTAAATAATTTTTAAGTACATTCTTTGAGAAGCTTACATTCCACATTTTATGTATCTAAACATAAAAATAGATATTTCCAAATTTAAGTCTAAGTTGGTTCTGAGTAATCTTTATTTGCTCTCTTAAATATTTCTGGAGTTCTTTATGTCACAAGCAAATAAAAATGGCTGTATTTTCATCTAATGTATTACTCACATGGTATAAAACTAGCACTACAGAAATCAATATTTTATTTAAAGACATAAAGCAAGGCCTCTTGCCAGGCTCAGTTTTCTCCCCTTTCTGACAGTTGGATTTCTCTAGCAATTGCTTTGGCCCTGGGTGTCTTTCTTCTTTCATTTTCCTTCTTTTTCCTTCACCTCCCCCCCCACCCTTTAATTCAAAAGTGGACCTTGGACTCCCCCTGTTGGCCAGAAGTAGCTACAAACAACATCTGAACAGTAGGAGGCCAGGAGAAATCATCACAGCAGCCACTCCGCCTCTGCCTCCACTTCAGTCTGTCCCTCCATCAAAAGACGTTTACCATATGCATGTTTATGACATATCATGCAAAAGAAATAAAATGTAGTCCTTTTTCTTGAGATGCTCTATAGTTTTCTTCACGAAAAATAAATTTCTTGACACTATACCTTAAAAAAAAAAAAAAAAAAAAAAGGGAGCAACTCTCTGCCAAGAAAGGGCATGTGGTATGTATTCATACTGGATGGTGAAAATACTTTCCATAGCCATGAACAACAGGGAAGACTTTTCCAGGACACTTTCTGCAAAGTACCGTGATAATTGACCATAAACTACCACAGTCTGTATACAGTAAAAGACTTGACACTAAAGGAGAAAACTGATCCAAAGTCACAGGTAAAATGTGATGTTTAAATCACAGATAAAATGTCCCAGGAAAAATCAGGCAAATTCGTATTTTTATCTTAGACATAGCGAGGGTTCGTATCATTACAAGACTACAAGATTTCCCTAGACAGAAATCCTGGCAGATTCTCTAGTCTCTTAGGTCGTTCGTTCCATAAACAGACCAGCGGTGACCTGTTTGACTCAAACAACAAGCTTGTGTCCTGGGAATGACATCCCTAAAGAGAACACTCACGTCTGTACTGGTTTTCATTCAGACTCAGCTCAGTGTTGTGAGCACAATGACAGGAAAGGATCGCCAGGAAAGGATCGCCAGGAAAGGATCGCCAGGAAAGGATCGCCAGGACCTCTGAGCTTCTATCACCACACTTGTACTCAGGGCAGGTGCTGTTTTAGCAAAAATTAGAGACACCGTTAGCGTTCTTTGATATTCATAAAAAGTGCAGCATCCTCGTCATATTTTATTAATAATCCTCTCAGCTTAAATTTGTGACATAAAGAATCAGTTGTGAAAATCACATTTTGAAGTAATTTGTAACTGCCTATTGTCTTTAACCTCACATTTTCTACCTTTTTGATCCTATAATTCCCACATCTAACACAAAATTTCTCTTTACTGCTCTTGCTTTGCCCCACAGCTCTCCAGCCTCCTGCTGACTGTCAAAACATAGACTCTCCATGGTTCTCTTAGGTCCAAGGGTCAGAAGAGTGCACCTCAATGTGTGGTTTCAAAGTAAAAGCTGCTCTCTGGACTATCCTGTCTCATCCCCCATCCCACAGAACACAGGGGATTATTTAAACACATGCCCGTGAATAAGACCCAGCTCTTCGCAAGAATTCCTTACTTCCTCATTTTCACACTCCAACAATCTATAATTTGTCTAGACATGGTGTTCTTACAGGTAAGGTCATGTTCCCCTTTCATCAGTTGGAGACAGTTCTGACCTGCCATTACTTACTCTAGCAACGGTTGGTTTGTTGGTTCTTTTCCTAGTCTCTGCTGCACCTCTGATCTTTCAGCAGAGTTAGTAATTTGCTTCTTGATTCTGTCTAGCTTGGTTAAGTGAAAATATCTGACTAGAACTTTGACCACCTGTTGCCCAAGCATTATGGATTGAAATATGCATTTTATTGCACCTTTCATTCTCTTCTACACTGTACTAAGGACATTGTATCTTTATGGAATGTAATTTAGTTTTGTAATATATGTACAAGTAAATTATACTAAAATTTAGTTTCAGGAAAGAAAATGTTATGAAATGTTATAAAAACAGTGACTTTTGGGTCTAAAAGGAACAAATTTTTTTCACTTTTTTTCCCATCTTTATTCAGCCTCAGACTTTCTCCCTCTTCTCTGACCTGTGATCCAATCTTTGACTCAAAGTTTATTTCAGAGGCTTTCCCAGTGGTTTTCCATTTAATCCTGTCTATGAAGAACTCCTCTCTGAAAGGTCCTGAGAAGGTCTCTAAGAAACATGGCTCTAGCTGCTGTAGTAATCAACACTTAACTTCACACTTTGAACTACCACCACTGATTACAAGTGAGTGTATGCGTAATTATCTCCCCAGCTGTGCTGTATGTTTCTAGAAGCAAATTATTTGTCATGATCTTATGCTGCACTTTACATAAAGTTAGCTCTCAATAGATTCTGGTTGAGTAAATTAACTATTTTTTTCCATTGACTTTACACCCTGATCAGAACTTTCTCTCTCTCCTCTCTTGCCAGTTCTTCCCTCTCATTTCCTTTCCTCCTATACCACCCTCCCTTCCTCATCAGAGAAGAGGAGACCTACCATGGATATTGACCTGACTTGGCTATCAAGATATTGAAAGACTGGGAACACCTTCTTATATTGAAGCTAGACTAGGCCATCCAGTTAGGGAAAAAGGATCCAAAGGCAGTCAGAGTCAGAGACAGCCCCTGCTCCTGTTGTTAGTGGTCCCACATGAGGACCAAGCTGTTCTCTGTTACATATGTATACAGGTTCCATCCCATTCATGCTCTCTGGTTAGTGGTTTGGTCTCTGTAATCCTCTGGGGGCCCAGGTTGAGTCTATAGGTTTTCTTGTGGTGTCCTTGACCTCTCTGGCTCCTATGCTCCACCATACCAAGGACACTTGCTCAACTCGTTCACAGCAGCTTCATTTGCAATAGCCAGAAACCGGACACAACTTAGATGACCCTCAACTGAGGAATGAATAAAGAAAATGTGGTACATTTACACAATGGAATATTACTTGACTACTCAAAACAATGATGTCATGAAATATGCAGGCAAATGCATGGAACTAGAAAAGATCATCCTAAGTGAGGTAACCCAGACCAAAAAGACAAACATGGTATGTGCTCACTTATAGGTCGCTGTTAGCCATAAAGTGCAGGACAACCATGCTATAATCCACAGACCCAAAGAAGCTAAGTAACAAGGAGGGTCCAAGGAAGGATGTTTAAATCTCCCTGAAAATCAGAAATAAAATAGACATCTGGGGTGGAGGAAGGGAGGGAACAGGGTGGGAGAGGGAATGGGGATAGGAACAGGAGTGTGGGAAGGATGGCAGGAGAAAGAACTGGGAGAGTGGGAGAGGGAACTGGAATAGTGTGAGGGAGGGGGTATTTCTAGGACAAGGTAGAAATCTAGGACAATGGAAATTCCCAGGAACCTATGAGGGTGACCCTAGCTAAAACTCCAGTCATAGGGGATATGGAACATAAAATGGTCACCTCCCGTAACCAGGCAAGACTTCCAATGGAGGGATGGGGGTATTTTTTTCCTGCCTATTAGAGGTGCAGGGATAAAGACAAGAGCAGAAAGGGAGTAGATGGCCAACCAATGTCTGTCCCAACTTCAATCCCATCCCATGAGAGCCCACCCCTAACACTTTTAATGACATTCTGCTGTACTTGCAGACAGGAGCCTAGCATAACTGTCATCAGAGAGGCTCCACACAGCAGCTTATGGAAACAGGTGCAGAGACCCACAGCCAAACATTAGGCCGAGCTTGGGGAATCTTATGGAAGAGGAGAAAG